ATGTCTTCATCAAAAAACACCTATAGATCAGTTAGTATGACTTTGGATCTTCACACTGAAAATTTTCGTAGAGTATTGTGGCCGAAGTTGGGTATATATTGAACTTTGTTGTGGTACGAGATTATGGAGTCTAAAAGATCATTTATGTTTATCAATCGTACGTACTACAATGTCCGTATGTGTATTTATGGTCTTTGAAGATGGAAGATTCGGGTGAGAAATGAGAAAATATATTTTTCTACAAATATTTTAAGAATCGGTCGGTTCGATACAAAGTTTTGGATACGCGGTTCAAGCTGCATAGATTTACATCAAGAAAGATTTATTTCTTGTTCTTCAATGTTTGAGATTTCAGTGCACGAACAAGATTTTCTTTAGCCTAAGCCAAAACGCAGCGTTTAGGATAATAACGTGAATATGAAACGGCAACGTATGCATTTGATAGTATGAGAAACTCAGAAACAAACGTACGTTGTCGTTTGTTTAAGGGCATATATGTTATTATCAGAAATCAAAGGTCCAAAACGACAAACCGAAAAATTGGATTTTTGGGTAATTTTGTCGATTTTCATTTCCAACAGATACCGAAGAACCCTAATTGTCTCGTTCACCGTCGTCTTCTTCTCGTTTTCGAGAAATTCAATCGCCATTGATTCGCACTTCGCAAGGTAAGATAAAACCCTAACTCTTAGACTTCTATATCCCTCTTCTTCTTATTGGTCGCATTGAGCTATGTACATCGTCACAAATTCACAATCGGCGAGTTTGGTAACAGGGTTATTCGATTTCTTCAAGTTGATTAACTGGGCGTGAATCTTTGTATTTCAGTCTCTGTATCGAAATTTGAAACTGAGAGTTGTGTTTTTTGTTTGCAGATGGAAAGCAATAGATCAGACCCAGAACTTGATGATGACTTTAGTGAAATCTACAAGGAGTATACTGGTCCTCCATGTACTGTTGTTACCAACAATGTCCAAGAGAAAGACAAATTACGTTCTGAGGAAAGATGTGACGAACAAGACCAACTACCTGATCCCAATTCTGTACCAACCGATTTCACTAGCCGAGAAGCTAAGGTTTGGGAAGCTAAATCCAAAGCTACTGAGAGGAATTGGAAGAAGAGAAAAGAAGAAGAGATGATTTGTAAGATATGTGGCGAGTCTGGTCATTTTACTCAGGTAATCCTCAAGTTGTCTTCTTACTAACTCCTTTGTAGTTTTATACATCGTTTGTGTGTGTTTCTGATTGTTGCACTTTTGTTCTGTATTCTAGGGATGTCCATCCACACTTGGTGCAAACAGAAAGTCTCAAGAATTCCTTGAAAGGGTACCGGCTAGGGACAAGAATGTGAGAGTTTTGTTTACTGAGAAAGTTATGGAAAGGATTGAAACAGAGACCGGTTGCAAGATTAAAATGGATGAGAAGTTCATAATTGTTAGTGGCAAGGACAGATTAATCTTGAGGAAAGGTGTAGATGCTGTTCACAAGGTTAAAGATGATGGTGAGGTGAAAAGTTCTTCTCTCTCTCACAGGAGTAGGTCCAGGTCACCTCGGCGAACTTCTGTTGGTCCACCTCGTGTTCGAAACTCTGAGCCTCAAAGACAGCATCCACCATCATATGGTTCATCAAGTTTCTCTGAGCGCCCTGCAAGGCAAGATAAATTTGTGGATAACCGTGTTCGTGAGGAGAATCGTGTTCGTGATAACCAGCGAAATGTTTCCCGAGGATCTCCACAAGGTAGGGACAGGATAGGATACCTTAGAGAGCTGGTAATTGTCTCTTTTAGTTTTAGTCTTGTTTTTGAGGAAGTTGATTGGTCTTTTTCAAGTTGTTTTGGGACGATAATGTCCTTTCTTTATCTTTATTTTGCAGCCAAAGGTAAGTCCGTATGTTCAAGTATTATGTACAGTACTGAAGTAAATAAATTGTTTACTGAATTTTTGCTCGAAGTCTGCATCTTATCTGATTGAAGATGTGATCATGCATCTTGTTGTATTTGTAACCTTTGGTTTAGTCTCGTGATCAAGCAGTTAACATTATTATTATTCATTTTATGAAGCTTATGGTAGTGACAGAGCTCGGAGTCATTCTACACATTCGAAATCTCCAGGGAGACCACGTTATAGTGGATGGGATAAACCGTATGATAGGCAAAAGTCTGAGATGAGTTGTTATAGGTCTGAAAGATGGGAACAAGAGAGAATGGGCGGCTCCAGCGACATTCAGGTGAGTCATCAGTTTGAACGCCCTGCTTTCCCACAGACTTTAGAAGAACTAGAATTGGAATATACAAGGGATGCAATGGAGCTTGAAAATAAACGCGAGAAGGAAGAAGATGAGGAGAACACCAAGCATCGTGAGGTAAGAGATCCAGTGACTTATGTGCTCATCTTAGATTCAAACCGAGTTTTAGGTGCTGTCACCTCAGAATCGACAATTCCTGCAACTATGAGAGTTTCATACTATTTTACATTTTGGTTGCTCATAGTATTAGATAGCAGCAGATATCTCCTCGATTTGTTACTATGAACAAAATTCAGGCTAGTCCTTAGTCTCCTTGTAAAATGCAATTCCTTTTGAGGAACGTCAGCTTCTGATATCAATTTGTGCGACTTTTTAGACAATCCGGGAACTGAGAGAGAGCTACATGAAGAAACTGGCTGGGGTAAGGGGTATGAATGCTAAACAATGGGAAGATTTCCTTCAAGTCGATGCTCAAAGACGTCAACAGCAATCAAGGCAGCAAATCTCTGGTCTGAGTTATGGTAGTAACTATAGACAGTTTCCTTACACTGAGTTTGATGATGGTTACTCTGCCAATCCTCCTCCCTATGGTGGAAACAATGTGCCAATGGATTCTGAAGGCAGATATCCGAACCATGTAAAAAACTATTCCTCAAGGCATCAAGACAACAATTATGGTACTGGATTCCAGCGCCAGAGACGCGAGGACTATGGGAAAGCCTACAATCGCTATTAGATCAGTTTAGTCAGATCTTGTTTGGTAAGTTGTTTCTCCCCTATCAGATGAAAAAAGTAATGTACTGTTCTTGGAGTTTCTGGATTTGATTGAGTAGCAGATCGAAGTGTGAAGTGGATCCTTGAATAGTCTATCTTTGACTCTCTCTACTCTGTGACTTAACAAAGTTTTTGAAATTTTCAGGGTCTGCTGAATCCGGTTTACGACGAACAAGTCCAGTCTCACCTACAGATCTGTGGTAGGTGATCTGAATTCTTATTAGGATGTACAATCTGCAACCAAGGTTCAATCTTCCCTACTGTTAGGCCACACAGATCTGGCAATGTCGAATATTGTCCTTGATCACCTGTAACTTCTGCTGTCTGCTTTAACTCTTGTCTTTTTACATTCTAAAGATTTTTTGCTTAAGAGTAGTGGTAAAACGATTACATTGTACTCATAGTTGAGCCTTCAAACATATTACTCTGTTTCAATTGGGGATGTTGTATCTCTTTTGGTTTGGTCAAAATGGTTCTGTTTGGCCATATAATTTAAGAGTTCTTAGCTTTCCAAGAGCTTGCGTCAGAAAAACTTTGTTTGATAATTTCCAAGTTGCCCTAATGCGGTGACATTAATGTACTTCGTGAATCCAAAAGGTTCATGCATACAAGCATTTAAGTTAGGACTCTTCGTTTTACTCTACAAAGTTTTGACTCTCGCAGTTCCCATTATCAATGCAGACTTAGTGGTGGCCTTGGTGTTGTGATATTACTGGCTCGTGAATCCAAAAGGGTCGTAATAATTTCCTGCAATTAACTTTTGACTCTTCGTTTTCCTCTCTAAAGGTTGCGACTTTTGTAATTCCCTTTTACGGTCTATATAAAAGACTCTCGTATCTTGTCTACTTTGATTCATCACTCACCCTCAATATCTTACAGAGATGTCTTCTTCGATTGTGAAAATTGGTATAGATACTATCAAAACGACTGTAACTGAAAAAGAGAGCGACATCAATCGTCTTGTGAAGACATTCTTGTCCAACAAGAACAACAACAAGAAGATCATCGGTCTTGATACGGAATGTGCCCAAAAGGCAAGAAAGCAAAACAAAACCGTCTTGCTACAGCTCTGCGATGGAGACAATTGTCTAATAGTACAACTTCCCA